TATATATATATATATATATGTATATATATGCGTATATGTGTGTGCGCGCACGCACACATACCGTGGTCTGTTGATAGAGTAACCTCTTTGAAGGTCATAAGTCTCCTCAGGTCGAGTTTAAATTCCCTTGTGTATAGGGAGTGGTACTCGAATGTCTAACACACTTGGGATGGTCGGGGCTCGTCTAAATGTCTTCAACCATTCCTTTTTTAATATATATATCAATGATAAAATTTAAAAATTGCATATACATACCACACAATTTTTATGCATTTACATGCATATCTAACACTTAAAATTTAATATTTACATTTATACTTATACTTTGGTATTAAAAACTTATTGCATGAAAATGGTATAACTACATATATATATACCACACAATTCTTATGCATTTACATGCATATCTAACACTTAAAAGTTTAATATTTGCATTTACAATTACACTTTTGCATCAAAAATTTATTGCATGAAAATCTGTACTTTGCTTTTAAAAAATTAATGATATAGTGATAGTTTGACATGATATCGAAGATCAGAATGTTACGTACATAAATATGAAAGTATATATATGTTTTACATGAGTAAATATATACGAACTATGTGATATTTATGTAAATGCCGTTAAAAATGATGAAATCACAATGCTTATAGTTTGATTGGTTAGATGTATAAAACATACTTTGATCTTTTTGTTGGGTAGACAAGTATTGGACCCATAGTTGTGTTGGCCTTCATAATGCCTTTGAACACTCCATTGTGGAAATCCAATATATTAGACTTGGAGACAAATAGGTTAAGCCATGGATGTGGAACATCCCATAAGCCCATAGCTCTGAGTTTCAACTCTCCCTCATGAACTCTATTCAGAAATTTCATGTAACTTACATCATTTCTGAATGCAAATCCAGACACAAAATTTAGTTTTTTAAGCAAATCTCCAATACCCTGCAAAATTAAAAACGATAATGTGAGAGAGAGAGAGAGCTAATATTAAAATTCGAATTAAAGTCAAGTATTATTATTATTTTATCACGAAGATCTATACTATAAAACTGAGTCAATAAGAAAATATTTATTCAATGATTAATGAGATGTGTAAAAAAATATTTTTTTTTGCAAAAATTTGTGGTATTATGTAAACTTTTCTTTTATATTTATATTTTTATTGTTGATAGAGTAAGAGAGATCAAAACCATTTGAGAGATTACTTGTGTACGGATACTGGTGGATTGAGAAGTCACATCATATACACGTGAATTTGTGATTATGTGATATCTTTGTTCGTCTTTTTTTCTTATTTCTAGATATCTGCACTTAATACTTTTTGCACTCTAATGAGGGTCCATCACAAAAGCCAATAAAGATGTGGCTCACTTTTGGTGGGCCATAAAATCCAAAAACTATTATTGAAATGAGATTAGACCTATGGTTTTAAGAAATAATTTAATATTGATCACTCATCAAAATCAAATAGATATCAAAATAATGACATGCAGAGACATAATCTTATATAAAGATGGCTCATACATTTTATAAATGTGTCATCTCTCTACAATTTGTACTCCTTTATTATACAAAATGAGAATATAATAAACATTAAGAACAATTAAAAAAATATTAGCAAATAAATTAATTCATAAAAAAACTGTTTAAACAAATAAGATTCAGAAATATGTCTCCAATGGGCAATTACATACACACCAACCAATTCCTATATATTTACATATCTAACATCTAAACTTAACTATTTATATTTATACCACCCAAATATTTATTATAACATAAAAATATTACTATTTTAACTTTAAAAAGTGAATTACACATTTTTCATGCATTAGATCATAAGATAGCATACATATGTAAAAAATTATGTTTTAGGCAAGTAAATACATCCAAATTAGGTGATATGCATGTAAATTTTCCTAAATAAATTTAAGCCAAATCAAAATCATATATATTTATATATATATATATATACTATGTATGTATATTTATACCTGTATATGTCTACATATACACCTTTATATTTTTTAATTAAAAATTGATATTTGATGTTATCTCTCCTATCCTTATCTAAATATTTCTATAATTCATACAAAATTTCTTTACTATTTTTGAAACAAATAACTTCCAACAATCCCATCTACGAAAAAATATTACGTTCTGATGACAGACGTGCAGATAACGGTGCGTATCGCACCTTGCCATCGAACACACAGGGTCGCAGAATCCATGTCATGTCTCCCTATCTCCACACAATTCCTTCCCAAAAACCAAAAAAAATAAAAAAAGTAAAAAAATAACAATTACCTGATCCATCCTGGCATCATCAGCAGCACCATAACCATAATAAAAGGAGGCTTCCAGGCAATATATGACTCCCCCATTACCAGAAGCCAGCTTCCTAATCCTCTTCACGTCTTTCTCCGAGAAGAAAGGGGATCTCCAGTTAGTCCTGAAGCTGTGTTCCATAAGCAAGGATCCTTCAACGTAGCCTAATCGCCATCCCTTGTCTTTCTCAGCTTTAATGGAGATAAGCAGCTCTTGATCATTCGTGAACACCTCAAAATCAGTATACATTAGTCTCATCCATCTCACCTGCGCATCATCACACCATATTTGTTGCAGGAATTAAGTTCTACATGCGTAAATGCCACAATACAATTCATATGATTTTACATTATTATCATTTTATTCATGCTTCAGATAATGTATTTTATCTTACAAATCAAGGTTTTGGTTTTAGATAGATACGTAAAATCATAAAACTTGAGTGGTATGTATGTAATCCCCCTAACTGAACATGTTCCAAATGTTATGTCAAGTGGGTGGCATCATAATATCTTCTAAATCTATATATTTATTGATGCGGTTGAATAATTTTGAATAAAAATGGTAAGAAATTGTCTTCTCAGTGACGAGTAATTTTAATTTTTATAAGAAAGTTTGCATATATACCACACAATTTTTATGTATTTACATATATATCTAACACCTAAATTTTTATATTTATATTTGTAGTATTTTGGAGTCATAAACTTAAAATGTAAGTAAAAATGATATTTTTGATATGATATTGAAGATGTGTGTGTTATTCATATAAATCTAAGAGTGTTGGATATATAAATACATAAAAATTGTGTGGGATGCATGCAAATAATTAAACGATCCTCTATAGATATATCTATTCGTTTGTTTGTTTAGGCAGGGGACAACTCACGCTTCTGGGAGCTTTCTCAAGAGCAATTCTTGCCCTTGTAATGATCCCAAACTGTCCCAAACCACCCAACACAGAAAAGAAGAGATCAGAATTCAGACTCTCTGAGCATGTCACCATCTCCCCCTTGCCTGCATAATTACAATAAGATTTCGCTTCACGATTTGATGCTAAATTAGAGAAATATTACGCACGATCTCCATATAAAAAGAGAATGATGCAAATGCACGATCCTTCTTTTTCATTTCTTGTATGCATATCTCAGTCATGACCTTAAACACATGTATTATTTCTTAACTCATCACACGAGCTCTACTCACATCATTTTCATAATCATCAAACTCTAATACCTCACCGCCAACTAATTAAACTCTAACTAATCACTCATAATCAATAATCAACGTATAAAATCTAACCTGTAACAATATCCATTTCATAAACATTGGAGATCTGAGGTCCATGCAAAAAAGCCTGCCCACTAATTCCCCCATTAGATAAAGTCCCTCCCACTGTCAAGTAAAGATAATCAGTCCATGATTTTGGTGTCAATCCATATCTCAAGCTCTCTCTCAAGACATTGATCCAAGTTTGTCCGCCGCCAGCGTCTACGAACATGCTATCAGTCGAAACGGCGATGCCAACATCGAGTGATGACATGTTGATGATGATGCCAGAGGGGGTTTGGGCTTGGCCATGGGTGGAGTGGCCAAGCCCGCGTGCTGCAACGGGGAACGAGTGAGGGGAGGAGTGGGAGAGGCGGAGAAGAGAGGCGATGTCGGAGGGGGAGGAAGGGAGGAAGACGGCGGAAGGAGGGGAGTGGATGATGCCACCGAAGTCGGACGAGGCGGCGGAGATGAAGAGGGGGTCGAAGCGAAGATGGGTGGAGATAGGGTGGGTGAGGAGGGAGGGAGAGAGGGAGTTGGGGGAGTAGGTGAGGATGGACATGAGAGTGAGAGTTAAGAGAAGAGATGTGGGGTGGAGAAAGGATGGCATGGCATGGAAGTGCATTAGGGGTGCAAGAGTAGAAGGTTTAGTGCAGGGGAAGGATGAAGGAGGGAGGTATTTATAAGGAAAGGTGATTAAAGTGGAATAGAATAATTGAATTAAGATATTGTGAAAAGGTAAAATAGTGTTTATATTGTGAAAAGGTAAAATAGTGTTTACTTTGGAGATGTTTAGACATTTTATCAAAATATATTTAATTCTTTATTATTTTTATTTTTATTTAATGATTTCTTAAATTATCTTAAAAATTTTTCTTATAATTCTAAACATTTTAGTTTTATTTTTGTATTATAAATTAAAAAAATTAAAATTTACATACACAACATATAAATCTTATGTATTTACATTTCCAATACCTAAACCTCAATTTTTACAGTTATACCCTTATTACTAACTTTTAAAAAATGGAATACATATTCTCATGCATTGGTAGTGCATGGTAGGGTGATATAGATGTAAAAAAGTTGAACTTTAGTTATTAGATATATAAACACATAGGAATTGTTAGGTGATTGTATAAAATGCCCCTAAATTAACATTTTTTATTTTCTTAAAAGAAGAGAGATGTATTTATGATGCAGAGGTTCTTGAGAGTGCTGTGGAAAAGAATGGGACAAGGGAATTTAATCAATGACCAGTTACAGCACTCATCATGCTTTTGAGTTCTGTGTCTGGCAAAGCCTAAAATAGACAAAAGCTGTAGACATTTTTTGAGTCACATTTTCAACAGCGTTTTTCATTATATTTTCAAATGTGATGTAATATTACTAATAGCAAATGATGGAAAAGAAATAGTAGATGTTAAATTTAAGGAATCTTCCAACCATTCATTCTAACATATCCGTATGAAGCAGTTGTTGTTGTTTGAAGAAGAAACTATGAAGTTGTTACGGAAAAAACTATTGTTCAAAAAGTTATGTTTAACTGATATAAATTTATTTTATTTTTAAGAAATAAGACCGCGAATTTCTAGTCGCCACGGTATTTAGCTAGATTATATTGTAAAATACAACTTCCCACAACAGTTTTTTGATAAAACAGGCAAAACTGTGTTTTGTCAAACACTCGCACTGATACAACAATTCTGTTCCAACGCAACGTTAATTTTTTATTAAAAATTTTTTGTATTATGGGTTATTCCACACGTGGATGTTTTTTCCAGCAAGATAATTATAACATTAATTAAAATGACAATTATAACCTTAATTTTCTCATTTTTGTATATTATATAATATAGGAGTTATGAAAGAAGATCTAATAAAACGAGGGCACTTTACATAAACTTTTTGATGCCACTATTGCCACAGTTATTGGAATCTGGTGTGTAAATGTCAAAGTCCTCCAACGAAAGTGATTAGCTCTGATAAATAAAGTTGCTAATTCGAGCACGGCTTAGACAATCTTGGATGAATTATGCCGAGGTTCATATAAATATGTTTGGGCGCAAATAGATTTGAATTATTATTGTGCACTATCAGCTAAAACACAAAGAGTTATAATAAGGTTATCTTATGAACATCAAAAATGCATTAGCAGAGATCCCTAGGAGATCCAACAAGCCAGAATGACTAGAGTGCAGCAAAGGAGGGCCTGCCTATAGGAGATCAAGAGGTTAACTTATCTAATTGGATGCAATCATCCTTGCTAAGGACGAAGGTTAATCGAGTCAGGAGGAAAAAGAAAAAATGGTATGAGTCCAAACAGATCGGACTGGAGCAAGAATGATAAGCACTCGAGTCAAACACCATTGGAAAGGTGAGCGAAGGCGTTGACCTACCTCTAGGTACATCCAACCTGAGGAAAAAATCTTGTTCTTTGGCATCACCAGTTGCTCCACAAATACCCCCAAGATTCATCATCAAAAACCGAAAATTGACAACACAATAGAGCATCACAATCATCCAGAAAGACCTTCTTGTTAAAGAATAAGCTTTCTTCTGATTTACACTCTGCTTGATAGTGTAGTCTCATTTGTCGATAGGAGCTCATCTTCTAATGATTGAGGGTCGATAGTTAGACTATATCAAAGAACAACAATGTCTAGCAGATCGAGTAAGTTCTACAGACTCAAAGCTAATCAAATCCACCCGACTGACTGAACAACTCAAGCATAGTCGACTGAACAATTCAAGCATAGTCGACTGAACAACTCAAGACCAGCTGAGGTATTAGGACAGCTGACAAATAAACTCATACAAGTAAAATGCATAAAATATCCTATAACGACATCCATTAAAGTAGGAGTAGAAATCTAATATCACATATTGTATCATCTCTCCTATGAATAGGGAGTTTTACTATTTATTATTATTCACTTCACAGATAAATCAAGATTTCCAAATGAGGAAACCAACTCCTCCCACAACTCACGTATCTCCTCCTCTTGTTGGATCGTAGCTGATGGGACTAAGGAACTCTCAATCTCATACAAGATTAGCCAATGACTCATGGGACGTTCATTCCCCATTAGCTTAGCGGGATAGTATGGGCGATTAATCTCATTGTCCTCACTCTCAGTCGGTGCATGGGCTACCACTAATGACACCATTGTCAGATGTTGACCAACATTTCACGAGGTGAGTCCTTGGCCTATATCGTATCAGCTGCATTGAAATACAATATAAAAAAGGGAGAAAGAAAAAACTAAACATAACAAGCAAGACCAAAACTCCTCATACCAAAGAGATGTTCTAACTCAGGTCATGTAATCGGTGCACCACTCTCACAAGACAACGGCGGAGCGCCCAAAATTTCTTGCACCCCAAGTAGTGATGATTAAGCACCAGGAGCCTCCTGCATGGTCTGTTCAGCCGATAAGTCTTAAGCCATGACAAAAGGTCAAACCGACATATTGACACTTGAAATGCCCAATCTAACTCCATAATCATCCTGACTTTTCCTCTACTGAGAACCAAGACGGGAGTCAGATGACCCCCTCTTGATCCACCAGCTCATCAGTCTTCCTCTTCTTGATAATGACATTCTTTGATCATATACCATATTTTTAGAATTTAAGACCTTCAATAACTACAAAATGAAGTTATATTTGTTGATTTTCTCTTGTCAAGACTTTCAATTTGATTGTCAGTATGTAGATAATTACATACCATTGATATTTCAGTAATTGTTACAAAACTCTTAAAAATATAGGTTCTTAATTTAGATTCATTTAGACACAAACATTACAATTTTAAATTTTTTTGGGTTTTTCTTAGTGATACACTCAATTTGATTATTATTTTGTTGAAATCATAATTAAGATGTGATTTTGAATATGACTTCAAAAAATTATCCCTTGATATGCATCAAAATCCTTGTTTAATTAAGTGAAATTACTAGCGAAAAAATTACAAGAGAATGACTTTCTTTAAATAAAGGAGTTGATAAGGATTATTTGTTGTTGTTGTTGTATTACATTGGCTTATAAATAAATAAATATATATATATATATATATA